GGCCCGGGCTTCGCCCCGCCGCGGGACATTTAGCTCTGGACAACGCCAGTGGCACAAGCGAGACAGCAAAGCTGGGATTTGTACATAACAAACTTTCATTCGGGTGGCCTTCACTTTTACGCCCTTCTTGTTGTGTAACTCCTTGGCAATTCCAAAGGGCGTAATTATACGGTGACAAACACAGATGTCACCGTTACAACAGGTTCAACGCGGGCTTTATGCATAATTGAGGAGGCAAACGCGACGGAAAGTTGTTCGACCTCACCTAGTTGAGCCTCAGAGCCCAGCCAAAGGGGTGTGACATGTAAATACGATGAAATGGGTAGTCCAGGCCCAGAGAAAAACCACCGGATAACGTCAAATAAACTAAATCTGACCCTTCTAATGTTTCTTTTCTTCGCCAATAATAGGTTTCGATTTCAGACTCTTCATCACCTTGCTTTTGTCGACAATGTTTCTGGACCAGACCCCGATGGAAAAACGAAAGATCTGTTCTGCCGACAATCAAGATATCTCGATAAATATCACTCCACAGTTACTTATTTTCTGTCAATTTCACAACATTCGATCCGCTAGTAACTTAAATCTACACCGAAATTCACCAGCGCGGCGTGTCCACACGATGCATTTCTTAAACTGAAACAAACAGCTAGCGAGAAGCAGGACCTCGGAGGCGGAAGCAGATAAAAGTGCAAGTGGACAACGACTGCAATTTGTATCACCACAGCGACTACTAAGTCGATGGGTATCTGCATCGCGTAGGAGTTATGTAGGGGCCATGAAAGTCGGTCGAGTAAGTCTAAAGAGCGCAGGAGGCATTTAATCCCATTTTTACGCTCCTCTAACAAATGTCGTTGAACTAACGTTGACGACCAGCTTTGAATGGCCTGTTAGATGTATAAATCCCTAAACAGGCTGCGTGGTAGATGCGCTGGATTGACTGATGAGTTAGATCAAGGTATGCTAGACGTTAGTCGAGTTGTGCTTCCATAAAAAATGCCGAACATGGGGGGGGGCGTGGTGGCTTTGACCGCGCCAGCCATCTGCGCCTGATACGACCTCCGATCTTCTTGACTCTGTCTTGACATCTGACACAGGTGAGTGAGGGAAGTGAGAGGGCGGTAGATGCTGTGCAAGTCTATTATTACTTAAAACTAATCAAGGAAGGTGGCTTACCTGTTAGCCTAGCTGCTGGCTACCTGACGCGTCCACAGGTGGGTTTATTCTCCATTATCGAAAGTGGTAAACCAAGTAAAAGCCACTGTTATCTAGGGGACAGGTGAACTGGGCATTCCATCTATAATTTGATTTGTGTAATGGCTGTGATAATCTTTTGCGATCGATGCTGCTTTAGATGCTTAATTGCCATACTGCCGAACGTTATGGTCCGAATCCATTAATTGAGAACTGCAGTAGTGTCAGATAATTGTATCCGTGCTGTGGGCAGGCTTGATAACAGGTATCGTTGACACGCATAATTTCGCGTCTGAGTAGACATTGATTACCCCCTCCTAAGGCAGCGGCCACGATTAGAGTAAGGGTAATCTGGGGCCCTTGCTACAGTCGTGGTATTTACACCTTTTCGGGTTTTGCCTGTTTTACACAGTAGACGGTAGACTGGTAGATTGGTCGATTCCGCGTTTAAGAACCAAATCTTCTGGCTGGACCACTTAATTTAAACGGTGTCAGTGAAAACAGATGAACCTTAAAATTCCTTTCCTTATATAATATTCGAACTGTAAAAACTGAAGTAATGACGCTTCCTTTAGAAAGAGTGAAGAGCTGGGAGTTTAGTCTACGCGTTCTATCGCCAGGTGGTGTTCGTAAAGTCAGGCCTCCACAACGTACTTCGAGTACTTGTCTCGTCAGTTCAGCTTTAAGCATTAGATCCTGGGGTAAATGAAGCCCGGAAGCCAACACTAAGGCAATGGTTGATAACGAAGGTCAAAAGTCAGATCAATTATTTTCACCAGTTTAACATAAAAGTGTGGCTTTAAAAAGATTACCCAAAACTACTTTTGCATCTATCAATATTTTTGGTGGGCAACTTAATACTAAGTTATAAGTCTTTAAGCCTCCAGTCACATATTGAAGAGAAAAAAGCACAAATGAGAACCGTCAGTCTAACGAATTTGAGTGTGACATTCAGCATTTAGTTCGACTGACGTTGGCCTACGATTTCACTCAACGAAAGTTACCTGGTACTGCCATCGTTCATGTCTATCGGTGGTGAGGTTCTGCCGTCAGTCTGCTCCATGTCCTCACGATCGACTCCGTGTATGACGGCCAGGGCTACCCTGAGGCGTTCGGCATAGCTCGTTGCACGGGCGACACCGTTGGGACTGCGAGCAACTATGACACAGTTGCGGTAGTCGGGTATGGACTCACAAATGTATCTGATGAGGAAGGGTGATGCTCGAAGATTGTCCACGGGGACGTCGAAAAACCCCTAAATGAACAAATAAATCGGCAATAAAAATTGGTGAAAAAGTGGTACACTTTAGACAATTTATGTAGAGACTGACAAGAAACAGCACTCTGAATCTTCCAAAGTGCGGTACTGCTCTAGACAAAGTTTTAGACTCAACAAGGCAGATAATATTGTCAGCAAAAACAAGGGAAACTGGAATGGCCATTTCTGTTTAATTAGCCGTCGTCAGCCAGTCATAGCCAACTCCGAGTGGTACACCACCCGAGGCTCGAACTCATAACCTCTTATGATCAGAGTCTAACGTTCTAATTATTGAACCACGAGCTCCTTGTGTTGCCGGTTTAAGTCAGGAGATATTGACACTCATTGGTGAAAGTTCACCGACCACTAACGGAACTCACTTGTCCCGCCTCGCCTTAGGTCTTATTTCTCGAGCGTCGGGCTGGGTATGATTGGCTGACAACGGCTAATAAGCCAGAAACGGCAATTCCAGTTTTCTTTCTCTTTGTCAGCAATACTATCTGCCTAAACTATTAGCTGCTACGGTTGCTGTCAGGGCTCGAGAAATGGG